GGACCTATTTGTAAAATTTTATAAGTTTAGGTACTAAATTGTAAAAATTAAAAATTTTGGGTACCAAAACGTAATTTTACCATCAAATTTTAGGGACTTATTTGTAAAAAATAAATTTTAGGTACTAAAATGTAAGAAAAAATAAATTCGGGTACCAAATTGTAATTTTTAGAAAGTAGTCTATTTATTAGGGTCGACCCTTCCTGACCCGCCCCGACCCTAAAGGGTCAGACAGGGTCATGAATGAAACAGGGTCGGGGCGGGTCAGTTATACATCTTGACCCTTCAGGGGCAGGTCAGGACAAGGTCAGGGGCGGGTCGGGCCAATTTTTAGCCCTAGATGTGACTAGGCGTACCCTTAATCACTTGGCTAAGTCAATCTCAGCCTTTCATACTCATTAAAATCCTAAAGCTACAATTAATTCATTTTAAGGAAGGACAACAAAGTAATTATATATTTTAATTTTGTAATTAAAATAAATAAATAAAAAAAGACAAGGAGTCCTTCCCTCACCTGTTTGTCGCACGCGGAGATGGATCCATAGAGACGACGGCGGCCAGAGACGAAGACGGTCAGGGACGACGGTAGTGAGAGACGACGATCGACGGCGTTCTGTGTTCGGGGAGAGAGAGAGAGAGGCGGAGGTAGAGGAGAAGAGAGAGAGAGACGGCGGTGGCGACGAGGAACAACGACGTCAAGAGAAGACGAGAGCGACGGCAACCATGGAGGAGAGAGGCGCAACGACGATTGAGGAGGAGTGAGACTAGAACATCGCCAGATTTGTTGGCGGCGACGATTTTGCAATTTTTGTCGGCCTAGTTTGTAATCGATTATGTTTATATCTTTTATCATTCTAGTTTGTAATGTTTATATGACTATATTGTATATATTGTAATTTGTAATGCTTGTTTGTCTAGTTTGTATACTTTATGCTATGATTTGTACACTTTCTATTCACTGATTTGTAATACAAGTTTACTGATTTGTATCATAAGTAGTGACATTTTGTATACTTTATGTTATGATTTGTACACTTTCTATTCATTGATTTGTAATACAAGTTTACTGATTTGTATCATAAGTAGTGACATTTTGTACCGTTAGTATGTTTTGTAATGTTAGTCGAGTTGTTTTGTAATGTTTGTAAGCTTTGTTATTTTGTAATGTTTGTTGAGCTCTTTTGTAATGTTTGTAAGCTTTGTTATTTTTGTCCAACATATTTGTTATTTTTGTTAACCATATTTGTAATGTTTTTTATGTACAAATTAATAATACAAAACATACAAACTATACAAATCATACTAATATTATGTACAAAAGTACTAATCATACAAACTGACAACATTTGCATTACAAACAATTGTTCTTCCTTCAGACAACAAAATATGATGTCGAGAGCCAACTCTCTCTCCACCGCTGCCGCCGACGACGCTCTTTACAGCCGTAGTTACCCCTCTCTCTCTCCATCATAGCGCATCTTCTCTCTCCTCCATCGTCGTCGACTCTCTCTCCGCCACTGCCTCTCTCTCTCCTCCACCATCGCCTCTCTCTCCTCTGTTTTCCCGACGACCAGATCTGCTTTCTCTCTCTCCAACGTTGCCGCCTCCGTCACGATCGCATTTCCCTTTCCCCTTCTCCATCACCGTCGGCGCCGTCGAGGTCTCCTTCCTCTCTCCATCGCCGCCGTCGCCCCCCCCCCCCCCCCCCCCCCCCCCTCTCTTGCATTGTTGCCGTCGTTGCCATTTTCCGACGAATCTGCCTCTGGTGGTGTTTCTCTCTCCTCCACCATCACCGTTGTCATCTCTCTCTCCACCGACGGCGCTGCTTGTCTCTTTCTCTCTCTCCTCCACCGGCGTTGCGATCTCTCTCCTCCACCGGCGTTGGGTTCTCCTCCGCTATGTCTCTTTCTCTCTCTCTCTCTCTGGACATCACAAAAAAGGAAAGAGGAGGAGACGATTGCAGAGGAAAATCAGAAATCAATAATAATAAATAAAACAAAACCAAAACTAGGAGTTAATGAATTTCTGATAATACCATAACTACCCTTCCCATTTAATAATAATTCATTAATTTATCTGGACCATTAGATCAATCCAAAGGCTGAGGGGGGCTTAGTGAAGTGACTAAGGACCCCCCCAGTCACCAAATCCGCACTCCTCCAAGTCGGTTTTCAAGAAGTTCGAGAGAGTGATTTTGAATTTTTGCTTTTCTTTTATTTAGAGTTTCAAATTTGTTTAGAATTTATAATAAAAAGTAAACATTACAATTTCAAGTCGACAACACATTCGGCCCGTAACCCGATCAACCCGCTACCCAGCTCGCCCGTAATCCGATCAACCTGCAACCTAACTGACCCGTAACTCGATTAACCATTGATCCGCAACCCGAATGACTCACAACCCGACTCACCCGTAACCCAATTGACCCGAACACGATTGACCAGCAACTCGATTAAATCTGTAACCTGATTGACGCGAATGATTACAATATTATATATTATATAGTCTTTCAAAATTAAATTTTTCATTCTAAAACTAGTAAAGCCATTTTCATTTTGTAAAAGGCAGTTCAAATATGAAATTCACTTGAAAATATGTATTTTAATGAAATTATAATTATAAAAATATGAATTCCTTTGAACATTAAGTTCTTTAAAAAAATTAGAAAAATAAATACTGAATATATAAGCATCACAAATATTGATAATGAAAAATTAAGAAATGAGATGTATAACATTTATATTGTATATATACATTAAAATCCTTGTTAATTTAACTATTAAAAAAGTCATCAATTAAATCTACATAGAGTAAATTAATTTATTTAGTAATAGATTATTTTAAAAGAAAGAGGAATTTTTGGTAATGTATTTGGTGTCAACTTGAACTCTCCTAATTGACACCTCTATACCTACACCTGGTTATTTGATTTTTCTGGTAGTTTTCTCTACTAACTTAACAAAATAATCAGATAGGTTTGGAATGTAAAAAACAATGACAAGTGTTTAAGATGTGATAAAAAAAAATTATATATGTATTACAATATAGTAAAAATATTATTTCGTCTCTTTTCATCCATATGTCTATCCAAAATGGTCAGTTAGATTGCTGACTCCTTGTATAAATTAATAAAAAATGAATCAGATGTCTAACAACCGCTTAAACTTATCCAGAACAAGTAAATTGGACATTTTAGAGGGAAATATGAATGAAATTATGTGAAATAATAGGTTGTCAATATGTGATATGTACGTGGCCTTCTTGTTATGTTTTAAATATTTGTCACCATTTTGTTACTTAGGAATACATCTGAAAAAACAATCCTCCGATTAGTAGGCATGAAAAGCAATCCATGAGTATCCGAGAGTGTAAAATTTGGTGTAGAAGGAATTGGGTTGGGTTGGGTTGGGTGTGGGTTTTCCTTACTTTTGAAATTGGTGGGTTGGTTCGGGTGTGAATTTTCTCAAAACTCAACACGCTTTCACCCGACATGCTCGTGAAAAACCAAACAACATATTTTTGTATCTAACCTTAAAATATGAATAGTTATTAGATGCTATTAGTTTTTATCACAAATATAGTTATAATAATATTGATAACTTATAAATATTATTAGTCATTATGGAGATATATAAGATATATATGTAGGCAATTTTTTGAATGTACTTTGATATGAGTGTTTGGAGAAATTATTTGTGGTTATATTCGTGAACCAATATATACCCATGCATTCGCGGGTACGCATTAAATTGAGTTCGATTTTCTCTTCTAAAACTCATTAAGTATTTTTTTAATGAATTTCATGATTATTATGGGATGAGTTAGGATGGTTACCAATTTTTTAGTAGCCATCGTGGCTACCTACATCTCCACCATTCATTCTCAATATTTTTAAACCGACGCTCATAATTAATTAGGGATAAGTTTGGAAAAAAATAATAGATACACCAGATTACCATCCTTAAAATATGATTTTTCATATATTATGTAAACCCTAAATAATTATCTCTAACTCCAATCATCTGCATCTCCCCTTCCTCCCTATCCCTACCCGCCGAGAACCTCACGCCGCCTGCCGCCCTCATCTTCCCAGCCCCAAACCACCGCCGCCCTTCTTCTCCCCTCACTCTCCCTCCACGATGCACCCCTCCTCTCTCTCTCTCTCTCTCTATATATATATATATATATATATATATATGGTGACTACTTTGGCGCACTCACAAAAATGAGTGCGTTCAATGCACCCAACTCAAAAACTAGTCTTAAAGAGTCGGATTTTGAATTTTAATTTGTAGAATTAGTAATATGATGATATAACATATGATAACAACTAATTAGCGGAATACCCTAAGCCCTAGACCTCCAATTTTGAGTTCTATCCCTAAACCCCAAACTGTAAACCCTAACCCTAGATCTTTAAACTCTAAATCCTTCAAATTAAAGCAAATCTTTCATGGTTTTTGTGCAAATTCATGTGTGTTATTGTTCATCACATCATAAATGATGATTGACATCATTTTGACATAAATCTCATGTTTAAAATGACGATTATGAAGCGAGTGCACTGAATGCACCCAAAAAAGTGAGTGCACCGAAGACGCCACCATATATATATATATATATATACACACTCGGCGAGACCGAAGACATGTCGTCGATTGGCGCATCAAATTCTCGGGTGGATTTCAGATCTGATTCTTTTCTACTGGTATTGATTTTTTCATAGTTGTATTTCTTTTTTGCATTGGTATTGAATATCATATAATGATATTTTTTGCATTGTTATTATCTTATTGGTATTAATTTTCATACATTTTTTTATAAGGATGATATAAATTTTATTATACGACAAAAGAAAGGGAAAGAACAGAGGCAGAAGTCCTCCAACAGCCTGCCCACAAAGCAAAACAGGCCGCAGAACAAAAGAAAAGCGAAACGGAAAGAAAACAAAAGGCAAAGGACAAAGTCCACCAAGCACAGGCTCTCCAAACGCCTCGAAAGCCTGGGAAGAAAAAAAACCAAACAACCAAACCACCATCGCCACTCCAGTCAAACCCACAAAACCAGCAACAGAACCAGAAACAAAAACAGCTACAGCAGAGCAGCGAGGCAGAAATGCAAAGAAAACCAACAACCAAAAGGCGATCAAGAACCCATGTTCGGTGGAAGGCGGGGACTGGAAGGAAACAGCCTGTCACTCATCTCTTTAATCCAAAGGTCAGCGATATCCTTACCGACCTTCTCAGCTACAATCAACCACCAGGCAACAACATTCCCCATTTTAAACACGAGCGGCCGGACAGGGCATTCCTCCCCTCTGAAGACTCTAGCTTTTCTCTCGAGCCAAACGAACCAGCAAAAAGCGTGGAGTGTGACTTTCGAACACCACTGCAGAGGACTAGCTGGTTTGGAAATGGGCCAACGCTTGATTCTCTCGGTGATATCAGTCGCAGCTTTTACAGAATCGTCGATCTTGACAAAGCATTTTAACGTGATCCAAACCTGCCTTGAGTACTCACAGCTGATGAAGATGTGATTAGCAGACTCTTCCTCTTTTTTGCACAGCGCGCACCGGTTGGGGAGACAGAACCCTCTCTTCTTAAGGTTGTCAATGGTAAGTATCTTATTGTGACACACCAGCCATAGGAAGATGCAGATCTTCTACGGGATTGTGCTTTGCCAAACCATCTTTGCCGGGAAATTGTCCAAACCCACGTAACGAGATGATGCAAGATGCTCAAAGGCAGAGTGAACACTAAATCCTCCATTTGCAGCAACAGTCCAGTTCGACCTTTCATGCATTGGTATTGTTAAATCTGCAATGGTAGTTGTTAATAAGTGGTAGTGGTAGTGTTTCGTGTAGGCTACAGTGGTAGTTGTTAACGTTTTGGTATTGATTTCTCATTTCTTGTTTTTTTCTTCTGCAATGGTATTGAGAGCGGCAATCTTTATGGATATCAATTTGGTAGTGCCAAATGCCAGTGGCAGGCAGGGCAGGTACTGGGAACAATAATAGTTTCAGGATGCATTTGTTTTGTCTTGTACTTTAGCATTAGCCTGCAGGCCCTCGCTTATCTCATTCCCCAACCTGATTCCATATGGCTCCACAAAAACCCACCTGCTTTCCAGTTTCCACAGATAATCTCTGTTATGGTTTAAGGAAATATGACAGATGTTGAAAGTAAAACTAAACATTCGACTGTATCAAAACTAATATAAAACGACCAGGCAAAGTCACAGACAATTGATCTATGCACATATATCTGAGAGAGCAGGAAGGATGATGCATACTCTGCATTAAGTGGGTAGAACTTGTCATCCAACAAGGCATAATTTTTCTAACCAGGAAAGAAGCCCTTTCAAGTTTCACCGTTGACATTTCTGAGGCAAAGTTTCTTAGCCACTTCTCCAGGTTACATATCTACTCCATGAGTAACAAAGTTGCATGCTGTTTTTGGTCTCTTCTACCGTTGCAGAGCCTTTCCAGAGCAAACTTTGCTGTTTTCTCCACTCTACCAGAGAGAGGATGGCCTCCTTTTCTATGGAAGACTTTGTAGGCAATGGTGTTCTGAAAGAGCTGCTCCCAAAGTTGTTGGAAGAAGGATGGGATGATGTGCCAACTTTGAAAATTATGGACGCTGAGGACATGGATGAAATGAACCTGACAAGGAGACAAAATGTACACATAATCCATTCTAGAGTTCCTCACCTTGCTGAAAATAATCTAATTGATAAATGGAACCTCAGATATTGTTCAAATCTTGCTCTTCAGAATGCCCTTGAGATAAGAATGTACCTGCATGATCGTGCTCTGATGAACTATGGAGACAGACTAGAAGCCTCTGGGAAAGGTTTGCCAGAACTTCTTGCCCTTAGTAACGCCAATATGGCATCACAGTTTGGGATGAAGAGAGGTCATATAGCTCGTTTCTTGGACAAAACCACTTCTTGTACAGAACCTTTGAACAAATCAGAAGCCTTACCTATTAGGAAACCTCCAACACCATCAAGAAGCGACAGCCTTATCAAAAGTTTTGGGTCTACCACCTCAAGAAAGATGGCTAGCGTATCAAGATATTCTGCAGCCAGTATGATGACTTATGAAAAATCCACAGAACAGTCGCTGGCTGATTTCAAGATCAAAGATGGGTACGTCTTTAAAGGGGTGATTGCTGCAGGGCCAGCTGATCCTCGAGCATGTGGCTGTATAGCTGCTCCACCAGTAGTGGACCAGGTTGCTCCTTATTCTACCATTGAGAACATTACTGTTCAGAAGCTGGCTCCGGAGTATAAAATTGGGATGGAGCGCTTGCTGAAAACCAAGGCACCTCCAATGAAGGCTTCAGAATTGTGGCGTGACAAACCAGCGGTTATCCTGTGTATTAGACGACCTGGGTAAGCAAATTAAAGGGGCAACACAACATTTAGGAAAAACCTTCTATGTATGCAAGCTTCGTCACTTGTCCTAATCAATTTGCAACTGTTCATATGTATTGATTAAATTAGATGAAGCATGGTTTAAATCAAAAGTGAACCTATGCAATCTGAATAGCAGTAGAAAACTAAGCCACACTGTTACCACGATAGCTGTAGTATTCACATTATTACCCTGTGCAATTTCTGTTGAGAACAGGTGCATCATGTGCAGAGCTGAAGCTCATCAGCTTTATGCTAGGAAACCCTTATTTGACGCATTGGGAGTTCAACTATATGCAGTTCTTCACGAGCACATAGAGTCAGAGGTGCTTACTGAATATGAACTTCTTAGTTATCAACCGTTCTTTCTCTGATACAAAATAGATATTGTGAAGGTACAAGACTTCTGGCGACGGTATTGGGGGGGTGTTGTACTTTTTGATCGAGGTATGGACTTCTTCAAGGCTCTTGGTGGTGGAAACCTGCTCAAGGACAAGTTCATATCAGGATTTCTCTTCAACCCTTGAGCAATAGCTAATTACAAACGAGCAAAATCCCTGGGACTGCACCAAAACTTCACTGGCGAAGGTGAGATCAAAGGTGGACTTTTCATAGTACTTAGTAGGAAGAAAGTGGTCTGGCATTGCTTACCAGTTTGTTGAGAGGAACTTCGGTGACTGGGCTCCTGTGACAGAAGTAATTGAGATCTGTAGAGACTTACAGGTAATCTTGTTTTCTTTTCGTTCCCATAAAGCATATAGTTACTCGATGTGCATTCCACTTTCACCTGGTCTTCTCCAACCTGATGCAGAACCAGCAGCAAGAGCAAGGAGAGTCAATCAAATCTTCACAGGAGTATGCTTGAGGTGATCAATTATTACATATTGATCAGAGGTCACCATATATTACTGTTGCATGGGGTTGAACGATAGCAATACTTCTAACGTTTGAGGGTTTATTGTATTCAGTTAGCACTGTTGTTTTGATTAGTTTTGACTAAGGAAGAACCGTTTTCAGACAATCAACCAGAAATTTGAGGATCAGTTTCCTACAAAAACGCCAATAAAACTAGGACTGGGATAATACAACTATTTTCTCTGACTAGTATAACTAAAAAAGGTTCATTTGTCAACAATTCCTGGCAGCCAAAATTTTAAGACTTTGCAAAAAAGGCTTTTCCTACATGCCAGATGCATCTTAGCAGAGATGTTCAAGAGAGAAATGGAAATAAAAACCTCAATGCTGCAGGTTTGCAAATTGATCACATGAAAATTTGGATGTGGAACAGAATGGTTTATACAGATGACTTGACAAGACTATCATCTAGTCCTGACACAGGCTTATGTATTTCATTCAGTGCAAATGTAAGAGTCCTGTACCCATCCATGCCTCTAAGCATTGGCCAGAAAGTTAAATACAGCATCCTCTATAACAGAGGAAGGACAAAAGAGTTCGGAAAGACAACATCTGGGAGGTATTAGGAGCTAGGGTGTACCCCATCTGCAGCTGAATGGACTGCCGACTGCTCCATGACAATCTTGTTCGTGAAGTTCTATGATGATGTTTTTGGAGTAAGATAATTCTTTTCACAATGGTAATTCAATCCATGAAGTCACCAGTTCAGAAGTCACCTATAGTCACAATTTTGGATGATGAAATAACCTTTTACCAAAAATCTCCACAAGAGCATGCCCCATCCTTAAACAAATGGAACCTGACCGCATCTCTAACAAGGATCTCCCTCTGAGTTATCTTTGAGATGTATTTAGTAGCATTATGACAATCCCTGCACACCCTCAAATTTTTAACTACTCTTATAGGACAATGACGAGGAATGAATATCAATCCGAAGGCAATCGCCAGCCTCTCACTATGGTGGCCAAGCATCTTTATTTTCTCCAGTTCCTCAACATCATGTAGAACTGAACTGGCATCTGGCACATACCCCATTTGTATCATTTTCTCGTTTAATTTTTCCAACTCAGCATATATCTGATCATAAAATGGACTGGAGAAGTCGTCTGCTGAGAAAATGTAAAGCTTGTTCTTAAACTTTATCCAACTGCATCCAGGATCCTTTCTTAAACCCTTTTCTCGCATTCCTCTCCTTAACTGAGCTACAGTATTCCATTTTCCTTTAGCAGCATAGATACTTGAGAGCAAGATATACCCTGCAGGATTTGTTGGCTCTAGGTCTAGAAGCGACTCAGCTGCCCATTTCCCTACCTCTAGGTTGGAGTGAACTCTGCAAGAGCTCAACAAAGTAGCCCAACCAACTGCATCTGGCGGGAAAGGCATCTTATGAATAAAGTCTTGTGCTTCTTTTATTCTTCCAGCTCGACTTAAGAGGTCAATCATGCAAGTATAGTGATCATGAATAGGAAGTATGCCATGGTCTCTAGACATTGATTCAAAATACCGGTACCCTCTTTCCACTAGTCCTGCTCTACTACAAGCTGAAAGAACCCCAATGAATGTAACTGAATCGGGTCTTAGGCCTTGTGCCAACATCTTCTCAAATAATGTGATAGTCTTATCAGCATTGCCAAATTGTGCATATCCTGAAATCAATGCAGTCCAAGAAACTTCATCCCTGAATACCATCTCATCAAACAACTGGTTGCAGTACTCAACACTTCCGCATTTACCATACAGAGTAATGAGTGCATTGGAGACAGTAATAAAAGAAATCAAGCCTGACATTAGGGCTTGCGCATGGAATTGAGCTCCTTCTTCTAAGCTCGCCAAGTTTGCACATGAACTGATGACACTACCCAGAGTAAAATCATCAGGCTCAATCCCATTTTTCTGCATGTCGGAGAAAATCTTAATAGCTTCCTCACTGAATCCATTCTGGCCATAGCCCACAAGCATTGCTGTCCATGAAACAACATTCCTGTGCCGCATTCTCCTAAAAACTGCTTCAGCATATTGTACATTTCTACATTTGCAATACATGTCCAGGAGAGCACTACCCACAAAGACATTATCTTTATAGTCCTTCCTGATGATAAAAGCATGAACTTGCTTGCCCTCTTCAAGGAGCTTCAGTCCCCCACATGCAGTCAGCACACTCCCGAAAGTATACTGATCAATCACCATCCCGGCTAATCTCATCTCCTGAAATAAATTAAGGGCATCTCTATCTAATCCATTCTGTACAAAACCAGTTATCATCGTCGTCCAGGAAATTGAATCTCTTTCCTTCATGTTGTGAAAGAGACACTTAGCGTCCTCCACCACTCCATGACGTAAAAGTCCCGTGATCAGTGTATTATACATTACAACATTCCTTTGGGGAATTTCATTGAATGCTTTCACGGCCTCATGAACCGACCCTATTTTGGAATACATATCGACCAAAGAACTTCCAACGAACACACAAGCCTTGAACCCAAATTTTTGTATGTGCCCATGAATCGCCCTGCCCAAGTTGACTTGCCCTTTACTTGACGACAACATGAGCAAGGTGGAAAATGTAATTCGATTCAAATTAACAGATCCATCCCTAAGCATCATGCTATAAGTCCCGACAGCTTCAGTAACCGACCCATGAACCGCATACCCGGAAATAAGCGAATTCCAGGACACCCCATCTCTGCTCGGCATGAGATTGAAGATGTCTTGCATTGTCGAGAGGTCCCCAGACTTGGAGTAAGCAGAAAGAAGGGTGTTCCAAGAGAAAGGATTTGGTTGGGCCATTTTGTCGAACACGTTGCGGGCGTACAATGGATTTCGCAGGTTGCCATACGCGTTAATCAGGTTGTTGGAGAGGAAAGGCTCTGGGTTCGATAGGGTCTTTAGGATATGGCAATGCAGCTTCTTGACCTGGGTCTGATTCCGGGTTTCGCAGCACAGCTTGAGAAAGGAAGAGTACTGGTTAGAAGAAGAGCCAGACATTTTACGTTGTTTGTTGGCGGGAAAGGAAGAATAGAATACTTGCGATGGGCAAAGTTCAACTCCTGCAGGTAAATCTTTTTTTTAGGGAAGAAAGTGAAACCAAACAAGAGACGAGAAGCATCCAACTGAATCTGTGGCCTGCTTGGTGCTTGCGGAACACAGCTCGATGGGCGGATAGTTGGATTTTTTTTCCCCCAATATATTCCGTTTTAATTTTTAAAAAGAAAATAGGGTAACATCCTAAAAAACTTTCCGGACAATGTTGTCCACTTTGAGATTAGATTCTGACGGATTTTTCCTAGTGATCCGTATCAAGATGACTTTCTAAGAAGCGAACACATTTAACTTCCAAAGTTCTCACAAAATCTCTTTCAATTCACCCTCAAACGTGTCTTGTTAGTTATGGCATGTTTCTTAGTTCTTATACATGAACCATTCATCTATCTCGAGTGTTTGTTGATATGTGATTCGCCTAAATGGTTGTGTCCCCCCCCCCCCCCCCCCTCGGGGCGGGGGGACTCAACACCCTCGTTGAGGTTTGTCCCACCATCGTTAAAGAGGGACGCAGAGAGGCTCTGATACCACTTGTAACATCTCGAACCTTTTCTCGACAAGATATTGTCCGTTTTGGGCCTAGATCCTCATGGATTTTGCCTTGAGGTGCATATCAATGTGACTTTTCATAAGATCACACATTCTTGCTGTACTTCACAGGGAGCATGGTGTACTTCGGAGTTCTCACAAGAACTCTTCCATTTCATCTCAAAAAGCGGATTGTTAGTCAATGTCGTTTTCTTATTTATGAACCATGGATCTCTCTTGTGCTTTGTCGATGTGCTATTCGCCTAAAGTGTTACAATTTTGGCCTATGATAAAAAAAAATAATCAAAATATACAAAAAAAAGGGAAGATTGCTTGCCCTTCACAAATCACAATTATGTTTTTCTTTAACATGTGGATACTAATTAAATCTTTGTTCAAGATTTTGAATCTAATAGGAGTTCAACTCATTTTAGCTATTAGCCTATTTGAATATTAGCAATTTGTTGAATTGCATACAAACTATCTAATGTAACAATGATATGTTGTAGCAAAATTTATTTGAGGATGAACATTTTAAAAGTTTCTCTGTCTTTTCATAATACTTGATGAGGTTAATCACTGGAATCCCTTTGCAAGTACAATAGACATACTCAGTATTGCTATTACTTTGTTTATTGGCATATAAAAAGACAAAGTAGTAGTTTAATAAATCATCAAAGCGGACAAACCAATGTGAAGTGTTAAAATTCATATATGGTATTTGCACTTCTGCTGCGCTTTCTTGATCTTAACAGTAACTCATCAAATTTTCGTGGTTCTCAGCGATTTTGCTGCATTATTATTGTTGAATTGCTTCAGGTTTTTGAACCTTATCTCAAACTAACTTCATTAGAATTCAAGTTCCACAATTTTGTATTAAGTGGTGGATCTTGGAGTCTTCTATGCCTGAAGTTTTTTTATACTTTTACAGAACTAAAAATTTGGAAAATGCCTCGAGTCAGTCAATGAGGTTCTCCCTCAACCCCTATCATCAACTAGCTGGAAAAGTTAGTTAAGTCAAAGAGATCACTATCTACCATTTAGATTATGTTTAACTAAAGAATGAGTAACATGTATTTACAGCTCTTTAAAGGCGTCAACATAGTATTTCGTACTTTCACATTTTGTGTGTTTGATTTTGAATTGGTGATGGTTACATTTTACCTGTCTTCACTGGGGTTGGAAGTTTAGTACCGATTACCGTACCGAATTTGTCTATATTTGGTATTACCGAATACACGTATTATTTCGTGGGATTGGGATTGAGTTTCAATTGTTATTCGGTATTAGGGATTACGGGATTGGGATCGGTATATACCGAAATACCAATCAATACCGAAATATAAGCTAGTGCGTATTTTATCCTCTCAACTAGACTCTCTCATTCACTACTATGCGACCCTCAATCACAAAGAGTGTCATTTAATTATACATAGATCATTACATCACTATTTCATACTAGTATTAGTCGTCTCTCAACCTCAAATTCATCAAATTAAAGATTACCAATTACAAAAACTTGAGATTTTAGCTCTAGGCAACTCAAGACTCTTTGCTTAGTCTCTTTGCCCTAAATTAAACAATAAAATCTAATTTATATATTTAATTATTAATTGCGAAGGTAATTAATTTTGTATTTGATAATACCGATTGGGATACCGAAATACCGATTGGGATACCGAAATACTTAGGGATTGGGATTGGAATTGATTTCATTGTATAATTCGGTATTCGAGATTTTAGTATTTGTTATTGAAATACTGATACCGTACCGATTTCCACCCATGATCTTCACCATATATTCTACATGAAAATGCTTCCAGAAAAAAAGGATACAAACGTTAAAACATGAGTTTTACACCGGGGGACGGAGGCAGGCACCGTTTGGAGCTGATGGATGTTAGACGCATAAGCAAATGTGCAGTATGTCATTCATCCTTACCATTCTAATCATTTCAGAGGAAGTCTACTGATATCGAGGATGTGTAGTGTATGTAAAATTCGACATTATATCGTACATTTGAATATAAAAGATGGCTTACCAACTTGAGATCATTCCATCATGGAAGAATGAATTTATCATGTTGAACCTTTTTTCTTTATTGAATTCACTTTATTTGCAGCTCCCGTTGTAGCTTGGTCAATACATAGATCAGTTGGGTATTTATACTAAACAAACTCATTTCCATGCCAACACTATCCAACTTTATTTTCTCTCACAAGTCCTTGTAAACCTGATAGACGAACATATTGGTTAAGTAAATTCGTTTTGACGTTATCGTCTTTCTTTTTCACAAATATTATTGTTGGTGTCCTATAATGTACTCATTTCCTGCAAATCGTATGATTTTAGGTTTAATTATTCCCTATCAAAATAGGAAGATACACGTGTAGGTATAAGGCGCTAATGTAATTCATTTAACTAATTAATTCAACTTTCAATCCAAAATTATTGTAGGTATAAGCAGATGATTAAATCCATGTTACCAATTCACTTAATTATGGCATCCGAAATCATTATAGTATCTACCTTTTAACGATAATTTATCGACGTATTAATCTTATAATAACCGCGGCGGAGCGCGGGTCAATTATCTAGTGTTACTAAATATTTGAAGCGGGATCACTCAATAACTCATTTATGGAACAAATTAGCATGATTACTGTTTTTTAGTAGTCACGGTGGCTATCAAACTTTATACAATATTTTTTTAATTGATTGTCAAGATTGCTCTAGAATTTTTTGAAAACAAAAAAGAAAATATCATATGTGATTATTACTTTCTAAACCTAACATTCCCTCTCTCCTCCCCCCCCCCCCCCCCCCCCCCCCCCCCTCTCCCTGCGGCCTCCCTCCCATTCTCTCTCTCTCTCTCTCTCCCTCTCTCTCGTCGACGATCTGCGGCCCTAGAGACGACTTTAGCGATGAAAAAGAGGAGAGAAGAGTAAGAAGTAAGGTAAGCACGAGCTCCTAAAAAAGCTTCATCTCCGCTCAACTACCATAGGAAAAAATACAGATTTGCGAGAGTGGAATGGGAAGCGCCGAAAAAGGGCACGACGGTCGCTGGAGAAAGTTAGCAAAGTGATCGGAGCAAGCGGAAGAGGAAGTAAACAGAATGAAGGGATCGAAAAGAGTGCAAAATATATAAATACAGGGAAGAGTAAAACATATTCCCCCTTCGCCCCATCTCTCCCTCCCCTTCATCACGCTGCCAGAACCAACTGCCCAAATTTTAAAACACTCAGCTGTATTCCAGATTTGGCTTTTTCGTATTGGTGTGTATTTTTTGTTTGTATTGGGATTGTTTTTTTGTACTAGTATTGGTTTTTCGCTTTGGTATTGATTTTCATGTAATAGTATTGCTTTTTTGTATTGATTTATCGTATATGGTATTGACTTTATCGTATTAATATTGTCTTATTGGTTTTGATATTCATGTATTGGTATTGGTTAAATCTGTAATGGTATTGGTTAATATGTACTGGTAATAATTAAATCTGTAATGATATTGGTTAATATTGTAATGGTATTGATTTTCATGTAATGGTGTTGTTTTCTGTTAGTGTTTTTATTATTATTTGGAAGTGATTACTTGTTTTATTTTTTTAGTGGTATTGGTTCATCTGAATGGAGACATAGAAGAATTGTGAAGTTGACAGAGAGGTGGCCGGATAAGGAAAAAAAAGGCCGCAGAACTAATGAAGCGAGAAAAAGGGAGAGAGAGCTACTTGCAAGTGAGAAAATTGTAATTGATATGTATTTGTAACTTTGTCATATTTTAATTTAATAAAAAGGTAATTATCATGTATAAAATCATTATACACCCTGCTATATGCATACCATCATGATATAATCTTACGTACTACCAAGAATTATCACCATGATATAGACTACTATATGTCTCAATTTTGTTGTTCCAAAACATATAAAACTGAATGACACTTTGAAGTCAATGAATTTTTAGAATTTTTTTTCAAAAAAATTGAATTTTGAGTTAAAGTGAAAGAATATAGACTGTTAAATTTAATTGGAGAAAAGTCATGCAGGATTAGTAACCAACCTGGTTATTGACATGATCTGCTCCCTTCTTGTAACATGTCTCAGTATCCCATATTGTTGGTTAAATTGTGGTCGATCCTATTGTTTTCTCCAATAAATCGTTGACCATCCTTACATTTTAATGAAAACTCATCCCTTATCAACATATTTCGTAGACAATTTAAAGGTTATGTCGATTAGATGATGAGACTTGAGTACTCATTTGGCCTATTTTATATTAGTAAAACACGTCTCGTATGCTATTCGAACTGACATGAGTACTCTTTTCGACCTGAATCTCCCATTCTCAACCCCTTTGGTCCAAACTATATATGTATTTTACTCAAAGTACTTGGAATTTTACTTTTATTACAATATATATTAGCAATAACAAAGTTTTAAATAGGCAATTATTATATTATAATAGCGCAAGTAATCTTTCATTAATTTTACTGTTCCATACGAAAAATCCGCTAATCCCAAACCCTTTGGAAAACACTGTTCATTTTGGAAAACACTGTTCATTATAATTTATTAATTTGAGTTATAACTACCATACATCCCATGACGCTAACTACCATATATTGAATTTTTGCATCATCAATTTCATGAATATCTTTATTGTTAACTTAATAATTAGTAAAGTTCATAACTTAATTGCATTATTTACTGTACCATCAATTTGCATTAAGCAAAGGTTCCGTAAGACAAGGTTGCCAAGCGATTTAGACTGTTGGCCCAATCGAGTAAGTGGGGTTAATGGTCTGATTGTTTTGACTCGGTTTGACCTATATGAAAAAAATCATTATATCAAATCTCATATAATATATTCTATAACTAATATATATTGAATTTTTGCATCACGAATTTCATGAATACACTTATTATTAACTTAATAATTCGTAAAGCAAGTTCATAACTTATTTGCATTATTAACTATACCATCAATTTGCATTACACAAAGGTTCCGTAAGGCAAGGTTGTCCAACCCAATTTAGCATGTTGGCCCAGTCGAGTAAGTGGATTGAGGGTTAATGGTTTGATTGCTTTGACTCAATTTGACTCGAATATATAAAAGAATTTATTATATTATTAAGACATTTATAAATTATATCAATCTCATATAACATATGTGTAATAACATATAACATTAACTTGGATCCAACATATAATGAAAATTCAAACACACTCGAATATTCAACTTAGAATTTCAAATAAAGATAGGTTAGGTGAAGGGGAAAAGAGGTGCAATTCGCAAATCAAAAGAAAAAGCGACATTGTGTGACCTCCAACCCTAGAACCTTGCTGTTGGTCGACCAGTAGGTGTATGACCTGTTTTACTCAATGGTCGGGATCAATCTGAGTTAAACTGGGGTTCGACCCACGGGTTAACAACCGTACAGTAGGTAAGTTAAATTCTATATAATAGTTTAATCAGATGTAATACTTTATGTAACTTGATTTTATTGTTAGACCCAACATCAAAGTTATCTGGCACCAATTTATAAAATTTAGGTGAATTAAAAATATAAGACATCAAACTTATAAAATGATAGTTGTTTATTATGTAACAAGTAAACAAACTTTTATTGCATTAACTACAATATTTACCACATAAACAATTTGTGTTACGCAAAGGTTTCGTAAGGTAAATTAACTTTTACATAATAGTTTAATAAAATATGATACCTTTTGAAACTTGGTTTATTATTAGTCCAAAGATATGAAACGTAACACGGTTCCATAAAAGTTATATAAATTAAAAATAGTATGTCAAACTTATGAAAGGATAGTTAGTTCTTATGTATCAATTAAATATAACGTGATATGTTTAAGTCTGTAGTAATGATTAAGAAATTTTGTAAATTTTATGAAAGGATAATTATTTATTATGTATCAAATAAAACAATATATTACATAGTCTTCCGTAATATGAGTTTGATTGATTTCAGGGCCTGGCTGCTCTCCAGGATGTAATTATCTTTTTGATTGGATCAATATATGTTATCTTTTGACAAAAAAAAAGAGTTTGATTGAAAATTTATTTTTATTAACTAAATGATTTACCATCTCATTAATTTACATTACACAAAGATTCTATAAGGATTATTTCTAATTAAAATTTATATATTATTAAAAAAATGATTGACCATCTCATCAAACTCCTTTACACAACGATTTTATAAGATTCACATAGCAATTTGATCAAATGTAATATTTTTCATAATTAAATTATTTTATTAGTAATTAAAATTTTTTAATTATTAACTACAATATCCACCATCCATCAATTTGCATTACACAAATGTATCATAAGGTAATTAACTTTTACATAATAATTAATCAGTGTTACTTTTTCTTAACATGGTGTTATTATTAGAATATACATTACATAAAATTTACCTAACACCATTTTATAACTTAAATTTTCTTAAATACAATACATAATTTGAAGGAACAATCATCTCTTATGTATCAATAAAACAAGTATTTTACGTAGATTTTACCGCCGCGAAGCGTGGGCCAAAAAACTAGTGATATCAATTTCTAGAATAATTTAGTTACATTTATCATGTCATAGTCTCTTTCTCGGATTTTTAAGAAAACAATTTATGTTCAATTATTTTTCTTTACAATAAATATTCATATGTCGACATGCAATGACACATGCCGTAAAACATAATACTGGACCTGCTACAGGGTCGGTGGGTATCGGAACACCCGCCATGACCTACCTCATTGTTATCACTAGGGTCGAAACTCGAAAGCAATTTCGTTTCATCGTAGGTTTGAAAAGCTTTTCTTAAAGCTAAAACGCGGTAGGGAATCGTGTTTTACCTAAAATGTTAGACCCTTCAACGTTATGTAGAGTACATCGTTGATGGTAACAATGTTTTTAACTGAATTGCTTGAAAATTTGGTAATTTCTATGAGGCACTTTCTCGATAGATTGCTCAGAATTGGGTAAGATTGTATTGACTCGAAAATGCAGACAGGGTCGACGATTTTGGGTTTTACTTGTTAGTACATCGATGTGCACCCCTTTGACATGAAGAGCTTTAGCTGTCTAGCCTCATCATGCCTATCATACACTCACCATCATGGTTGTCAAACCGGTTTCATACCGACCGGTTCAACTGGTACCGGTCAGCAAACTGGCTGGAAAGGGGGCGGTATTTAATTATGGTCAAATCCGGAAATTTCGGTCGGTTAGACCAGAAACCAGAATTTAATGTTACACACATTATATCCAAAAATAAACATCCTCCATAGAATTTGAACCAAGTACCTCATGTTCATTTTGGTTTAACTTACACACCAATAAGCTACAAGTAATTTTGTTATCTATATTAACCTTATATGTTATATATCTAATACTAAATTTTACACAAATCATTAAACATTAATAAAATTCATTTAATAAAATTTTATTTTAAGCATCTAATTGTTTAGTATTAGTTACCAATTCTTAGCTATAAATTATTTTGTGTGAAATAATTCTTCTAATTGATTTTTCATGACTAATTTCTTTGGAATTGAGAATTTCCATTTTTCTCATGTATTTTATTAAAACTGGCACAACCGACATGAATACTGGTTGTACCACCGTCAGACCATTCCACTTACAGAACCGCCACACCGGCATAAACCGGTTTGACAACCTTGCTCACCATCCATTTTTGTGGGTTTGAAATAAATAAAATGTTTGTTAAAAAAGGGCTTAATTGCAAGTTTGGTCACTCGAATTGCTACAAAATTTCACGTTTGACATTCAAATTATTTTATTTCATTTATAGTCACTTAAATTAGGTTAACAGTTCAAGTTTGGTCATTAGCAGTTAGTCTCCGTTAACTTTTGCTGATGTGGCGGTCAACTCGTATAGTTGACCGTTAAATGCATGACGTGGCAATTAAAAAATTAAAAAAAATTAAAAACTTTCACCTCAACTATTAAAAAATAATAAAAATAATAAAAACCTTTTCTAATCTAACCTCGGCTCGGGTTGCTCCTGGAATCTGTCGGGCCAAGACCCGACTCGGGTTGGAGCGGTGACAGGGAACTCGGCCAGTGATGGAAGACAGAATGGACTCGATCGCACTGCATTCGGTGGAGCGAAAGTTGTACTGGTGCTGGCGCACTCGACCGACGATGAAGATGGCGGAGGTCGGAGACGAAATGTATCTTAAACACCGCCAACTCCAAAAACAGAGCAACACTCAGTGAATAACAAAGTCAGAAGGTACTATTCCTGCTACAAATGCAATGGCGGCGGCGTACGTACAATATCGATGTAGGTCTGCGCGAAGACGGCGGCAGGGGATTCGTGGGAGAACGGTTAATAGGGAACTTGACGAGAGCGACGCTGTGAAAGTAAAAATGGCCGCGAGAGAGCGGAAATAGACGGCAGCGATTCTGAGAGTTATTGTATAGGAAGAAACTTCCATAAGTACGTATTGCTGCTCTGCTCTGCTGTGTCTTTTTTTGTTTCGTTCCGTTTTGTTCTCTTCATACAGATTACGGCCGAAAACCAATTGATGTTGCTATTCATGTTTTCTGGACTACTTATTCAAACTTGTCTATTAGGCTCTCTACGGTTTGCAATCAAAATCTGTGTACGGAAATTTGTGGTTGGACTTCTAGGGAATTGGCTATGTTGGGATTGGGAACCCTACTTGCATTGAGATGCTGGACTAAATTGCTATGGCATAATCTTCAGTTCTTCGCCATTTGAGCTAGCTTCCAGGAAAACTTGAGGTCATTCTCCGAGAGATGGTTAGACCATCTACTGGAACACCAAACTACTACAAGTTCACAGCCTTTCCTTCTTCTCCAAAAACAGCGACAGCAATATCGCCGCTGCGTTCTCCTTCCCCTCGGCTGCCCAATCCTCAACAGATCGATAAGCACCGGGATCGTGCTCACCTTCACGATCGCCGCTTTCGCTTCAGCGTTGCTCGATAGCACCGACAGTATCGTCAATGCCTCGTCCACCATTGCCGCCCCTCGCGAATCGGCCAGCATTCGGAGCAACACCGGTACGATCCCGGCTCGCACTGCCCTGCCTTTGTTCCCTTGGTAGATGCACAGGTTGAACAATGTCGACGCCACATCTTTCTTCCCTCTGCTGCTCCCCTGCTCCAGCAGCTCCACTAATGCTGGAATCGCCCCCGAAGCTCCGATTATGATCTTGTTCTCGTCGCCCGGGGACAAACTGAAGACGGTTGCTGCCGCGTTTTCCTTCATTTCCCTGTCACCGCTCCAACCAGAGTCGGGTCTTGGCCCGATAGATTCCAGAAGCAACTCGAGCCGAGGTTAGATTAGAAAAGGTTATTATTATTTTTATTATTTTTTAATTTTTTAATTGCCACATCATGCATTTAACGGTCAATTATAAGAGTTGACCGCCACATCAGCAAAAGTTAACGGAAACTAATGGCTGGTGACCAAACTTGGACTGTTAACCTAATTTAAGTGACTATAAATGGAATAAATTAATTTGAGCGGCAAACGTGAAATTTTATTGCAATTCGAGAGTGACCAAAGTTGTAATTAAGCTGTTAAAAAAGGGCTGACGAGAGGAAATGGAGCTAGCTAGCTAGCTTGGAGCTGGCTAGATATTGAGTCTCCTTGACCGAACAACCTCCATTAAAGATCTTAAGCTCTTGCCCCAAGGTCATTAAGGCATTTATTTTAGTTAATTTTTTTATCTTTAAATGAAAGGAAAGGAAAGGACAGACAAAAAAAATAATAATACCCACTAAGAAAGATACAAGAAAATCCTTACCCCCCGAGTTGGCTGTGTCAGCTGCTAGCTAACATCTAGCTTTTGGATTTAATTATTGTACCTAAAAAGTTGCATTTGAAGATTAAAAAAGGTTGCCTAAGAAAAAAGGGGGAAAAAATGTTCAATATTATATGGGAACGCATAAATAATCGAATGCATGACCAAAAAGTAAAATAAAAATTGTTTGGAAATGAAAGTTATTCAACTATTTATTAGAGTTTAACAAGATTGTCAACCCATGGTCCATTGATCCATTTTGATACTGATCCTCTGAGAAAAACAGGTCGCACACACCCGTCGGATCGAACTGCTGCAAAATTATCTGGTTGGAGGCTATAGGGTGTCATTTTTTCATTTGGTCTTGTGAAATGCACTTATTTTATGTTTTCCTCTTCACCTAACCCTATTTTAGGAATTCTAAATTGAACATTCGAATATTGATGTTGTATAAGTGTGTATAGTGTGTGTGATTTTCACTATATGTTGGATTCAAGTACGATACGTTGTTTAGGTGTAATTTTATACATTATTACTCATATGTGAGATGAAATTTGATATAATTTATAAATGTATAAACAATATAATGACTTGTACATATATCCGGACTAAAACAGGTTAAAATAGTCGGACCATTAACTTTAAACCCATTTGCTCAACCGCGTCAACGAGCTAAACTGGGTTGACAACCTTTGAGTTTAGAATTGCCAAAGTGGGAAAGAAAAAAAAAAGGAGAGGGAAGAGCAGGGTAGCTGTATTAATAATTAATTTTTAGTTTAATTAATCAACTCATTAAATTAAGCAGTGGCAGTGGCGGTGGTTAATCATCAAAAGCTCTCTTTTCTATGCAAGCGTGGGTATAAATCTAGCAGCTTTGTTGATTTGAGTCTTCCTCTCTTTTCCTTTTTTTCATTTGCTCTCTCGCCCCTCTTTTAAAATTTGTACTTTGCCCGTCAAAATTCATTGCTCAGTCTTCCTTGTGTCGCTCACTATCAGAAACTGAAGCTTGTCCAATTTCAGTTTTTCTTGATCGGGCTGGAATTGTGGGTTTGATTCTTGCACAGTGAGGCTCGTGGCAGCGTGGTGAAGGAGGAGGAAGAGCAGCAGTAAAGCGAATGGAGAAAAGGGAGGAGGGGAAGGGATTGAATGAAGCGCAGAGGTCCAAAAGTAGCAGCAGAATCTGAACTGGGTATATCTTTCTCTTAGTTACTTTTAAGCTGGGTTTTGCTGTGTGTGTGTCTCTTTCCCTCTCTCCTTCATTGCTTCTGGTTCACCTCTGAGATGATATCTCAGCTCCTCTGACTAGGGTTTTCAATGGGGCTTATTTATTGTACTGAAATCAATGTACTTCTTTTGTTTGCTTGTTTGACTGATTCTTATCTTACCCCTCCTTTTCCAGCTTTTTCTTCGGTTCTCTCTCTGAGTTTTCCTTTTCTCGGCGTCGCTGTCGTCTTGGGAGTTGCTTCCTTTTGGTTCAGTCCTAAGTACTAAAACTGCAAGTCCAGTGGTGGATTGCTTTGGAATTGGTGGCCTTTCCCCAACCGCATTCTTACTTCTCTTCAGTCTTTGTTGAGTTTAGAGGAAAGGGGAGAAGAGTTTGTGCGCTCATTCTTTGGTGTGATTCCTGAAAGCCAGTTTGTTGAATTGGGTTCTCACTTGTGCCACCGTGTAAAGCTCTTGCAAAGTTAAAGTCTGTCTGTGATCCTGCGAGGAATGTCCTCGCATCCTTCTGTGAATTTGAAATTTCTTGTACTGTAAGTTTTGGCCGTGTTGTTGATCGCTTTGTTGTGAAGTTGTCATAAATCTCTTCTTGGAGAGAAGTTTTGCTACTTCGGCTGACTTAACGAAGAAGTTGATTCTCTGCATCTTTGTCTCTTTTCCCTGTTGAAGTATGGCTTTATTTATTAGGAAGTTGGAAGGTTTTCTTGCTTGATTAACTTTCTCAGACCATCTTTCCATTTTATCAGAATTCCCATTGAGAGGTTGCTGGTAGATCGCACCAGAGGAGTTTATCTATCATCTACTCTGGGCTTCCTTTCTTATTTTTGTCATGGAGATTGACATTAGCGAGAAGGATAAACTTGAACTGGAAAAGAGGAATGTCGATAACTCTATGAACTATCAATCAGCTGGTAGTTTAACTTCAGACTGGCATTTTGCTGGTGCTAATATAGCTAATTCAGCTCTCAGTTTGGTCCCTAGTCATGATGGTCAGATGAATGCTTGTAGAGGAGATTTAGTTGGTGCAGCTTCTAGCTCGTCCGCCTCCATGGGAGAATCATTTGGTCCTCCTGTTATGTGGGACCACCAAACTAGTTCACAGAACACTGGGTTTTGTGACATCAGTCTAGGCACAGGAACTCTGGTAGGGATGACAACCGGTGGTCCTGTCTCTATGAGAAGCAGTATCGATGGAGCTCTGGGTATGGGTTGGAATCCACCTAGTTCAGTGTTGAGGAACGGTATTTTCTTGCCAAATGCTCATGGAATACTTCCCCCAAGCTTGTCTCAATTTCCAGCTGATCCTGCTTTCATTGAGAGAGCCGCCAGGTTTTCATGCTTCAACAGTGGGAATATTAGTGATATGGCTCACCCTTTTGGAATGTCTGAAGCTATGGGTAATTACTCTAGGGGAGGGGGAATGATGCAAGGACTACAGGAGCCATTTGTAGGTAGTGGGTTGAAATTATTATCTGTAGGGCAAGCTCAGAAGAATATGATGCATGAAGGGGACTGTTCTGGAGAAGCAAGTATTGCTTCTTTACACATGGATCATGTGAAACCTGAAGATAGTCCGCTTAAGAGTGAGAGAAAAAGTGAGAGCCTTGTAAGATCTCAGGATGAAGTAAAACCAGGTATGGGTAGGTCTGGTAATGACTCTGATGAAGCCGAATTTTGTGGTAGTGACCAAGATGATGCCACTATGTTGGAGGCAAATGCTGGGAAGTTATCTGCTAATGGCCTGAACTCAAAGAAAAGAAAGCGTAATGGGCAGGTAGGAATGCCTGCTTAGAAAATTTTCCTTTGGTTCTTGTGTATATTTTAAGCTTTTCCTAATTGAGCTAGCTTGGTCCTTTATTTGTTTGTTTTTTTCTGAATCCTTGGTTAGGACACTGAGCACAGTCCAGGGAAGGGAAGCCAGCTATCTGCAGAAGTTAATAAGGATGGCTCGGAAGTTCAACATAAGGGAGGTAAGAGTCCGACTTCCACAACTAACAAGACCTCTGGAAAGAATGGCAAGCACGGATCTAAAGCTTCTGATCCGGAAAAAGAAGAATATATTCATGTTAGAGCTCGAAGAGGACAGGCAACTAACAGTCATAGTCTTGCAGAAAGGGTAAGACTCATTGCCTCTAGTTTGGCCAGCTCCTTCTGTGTTTTGAGCTCACTGATTGATTCTGCAAACAGGTGAGAAGGGAGAAGATCAGTGAAAGAATGAAGTTTTTGCAGGACCTTGTACCTGGTTGCAGCAAGGTTGGTTTGTTGGAATCAGTAATTTAACCAATACAATATTTTGTTCTTGCTTGCAACTGATGAAGTTTCATCTGATTTTTGCAGGTGACGGGCAAGGCAGTGATGTTAGATGAAATTATAAACTACGTTCAATCACTACAGCGGCAGGTGGAGGTGTGACAGCTATATCATTCTTATTTTCTCTTTCCAGTTCTTGTGGCTCTGAAAGGGTTGATGACTTATGCATTCTTAAGAAACGAATTTGAGTGCATTTGGGATTTTCCTGGTTCGGTTAGAACTTAAAACATCAGACAACTTGTTAAAATGATTTTCTGAAACTTGTATTTTACTCACCTCAGTGGCCTCTTTTGCCAGAGCATATGCCCTGTTTAACACCAGTTATTTACTGTTACAGTTTTTGTCGATGAAGCTTGCAACAGTGAATCCAAGAATGGATTTTAACCTGGAAGGGCTTCTTGCAAAAGATGTGAGTGACTGCAAGTTATTTTACCTCTTATGTTTCTGCTTTTGGGTTTAACTCATTTGTCCCTCAACTAACTGTATGCAGATCCTAACGTCGAGAACTGTTCCTTCAGCTAGTTTGCCATTTTCACCAGACTTGCCTATGTCTTATCCTCCATTACATCCATCTCAATCAGGACTTGTTACAGCAGGTTTTCCTGCGATGGAGAATCACTCTGACATCCTTCGGCGAACTATTGGCTCTCAGTTGACTTCTATAAGCAGAGAATTCAAAGAGTCTGCTCAGGTATTGCCTATTTCTCCAATCTGCTCTTGTTCATTTGTGTGGGAGAACCATCCTAAACAATTTTTGTGTCGAAGTTTTATGCGCACTAGTTTGCTAGTTAAAGAGGTATGCAGAGCTACAAAATATGTATCCACAGTGCTAAATAGTGTCTGTAATGCTTCTGTCTTCCCTGTAGATTAATCCTTTGCCGCAAGATATGATACTCTGAGCCTAAGGTGTGTTGATTCATGTTTCGATTGTTTTCATTTTACAACAGCTACCAGGTTCATGGAACGATGAGCTGCACAATGTTATACAAATGTATGCGAGCAGTGATCCTCAGGATAGCCAAGAGATAACTGGTATAGAATTCTTCCCCCAGTGGACTGGCCTTTCTCTCTGCTATCAATTTCCCATTCTCAAAAAGAAAAGTTTCAACTTGCAGGGCCAATTGAGGCAAGCAATATGAAGGCTGAACCTTGATTTTTCTTCGTAGTTCTGATGCAGTGTGGCTACTAGTATATCATTTCTTGAACAGCAGTGATCTAGGGGACTATGAAGATACGAGTCTGGAACTAGAAATTGCTTCTAACCCAGACGAGCAGCTAGTTTTCTTTTAGATGAGGAGTTGTGTCTGTCCTCCTTGATTCCTGGATTTCATAGCCACATCCATGTTTATTGGATTAAGTTCCTCAAAATCAGGAGAATGAAGTTTTGCCTTTTGTATTATAGGACGCAATGGGAAGGAAAGGAACGATGAATGATGGAAGTTGGAAGATATGTACAGATAGGATGGTGGTTGTGGAGGGTAATGGATGGTGGAATCAGAGGTCGTGTAAACTATTATCATATATGTGTATGATATAAGCATTGGACAAGCATGGTGGTTTGGGTCTTCCCTCCCATTCTTTTGTGTGTAAATTGCATATATACACAGAAGTTGACGAGCATTCTGTTTTTTGCAATGCTGTAAAAGCCGAGCCGGAGTATGACCCGATAACGTGAACGGCTTGGTCATTAGTGGTCCAGCCGTCATTAGACCGTTTAAAATCGTTTGAGAACCGGTACCTAATAAACAGTCATCTATAATAATAGACACTTCTTACAATGGAAAATCTAACACTACCATTCTAAAACTTCTAAATAACTCAATCAAGTAAACAAGTAAACAAATGCAAATTAACATTGAAATCAAAATGATGCAAATTAACATTACAATCAACCATAAATTTGCATCAATTAGGTTTAACAAAATTAACTTACCTCGAGCAGGAGGTGAGTCGGCTGGTGGGAGATGTTGCGGACTGTGGAGGTGAGATGGCTGGAGCAGGGCAGTGGTTGGGGGAGATGTTGCGGCAGGAGCAGGGGCTGCAGGGGGCTGCTTGCGACGATGGCGGGGAGCAGAAGCAACGATGGCGACTGGCGATGGCGTTGCTTGCGGCGATTGCGAGCTGCTTGCGCCGGGAGCGGGGAGCAGAAGCGACGATGGCGACTAGCGATGGCGACTGGCGGCGGCGGGACGGAAGCGCTGGGGGCCTGGGGCGATGGTTGACGGCGGTAGGGTGGCGCCGCTCTCCCTCTGTCGTCTGTTCTACTTCTAGGTCGAAGATGGAGAAATAAAAAGAAAGTTAGGGTTTTGTTTGGCTGCCCAATTCCACGATTCCTTTTCTATTTTTTTTTTTAGGGTAAACCAAACGGCCGAACCGCACGACCGGCTTGAGCGGCTCGAGCGGTTAACTGCTTCGGCCGCTCGCCGGCCGCTGTATAAAACCGTGGCGGTTAAATAGCTGATCCGAGCCGGTTTTACGGCCGGGTGGCGGCTTTGACGGTCCGGCCGGCCGGCTCGGTTCGGCTTTGACAGCACTGGTTTTTTGACATCTGTGTCCTTTGGAGTTTCCCTTTTTCACTTTTTAAACCCAAGCAGGGGAACATTCTGACTATGTTTGCTTCTTTCAGTCAAGTTCAACAAAGCTGTAACCGGTGGTTTCAATGATGGAATGTGTTCATGAAATGTTGTCCCGGGGAAGGTGCCTGACTGACTAGTTATTGATTGTTTGCTTCTTTTAATCAGAAAGGAAATTTAACACTATATGTCTATAACCATACTTTTGCATTACTTTCTAATAAGTGGTTATAGAGGTCGTTACATAATGGTTGCTGAAATGAGGTCAAAAGCAGTGCACACAGCATTTTTGCACCAGTGAATAGATTTTGTATCATTGATCCAGACCAAAAGGAACCTTCTAATCAAGACATCCATCTTTTTTTGTGATTCCTCCCAGGATGAGGAAACGTAACATGAAGGTGGGGATTGCTTGAAGAACCACCTTGATGATGAGAGTTTCTTTTCCACTCCAAATTCTATAGTACTTTGAGTAAAATTAAAAGTGTGACATACTTTGAGTAAAAAAATGATATATAAACCTCAAATTAACCGAATTCTGGAACATTATATTATATCCTAACCATTAATAAGTGAATCCCAAGTTTTAATTATATAAATCATAGACCCTTAACACTAAGATGGTGCATATAATTTGTTGGATCTATTTTTACGAATCATGACAGTACATTATTTTTTTATTTAAATTGATCTTAGGAAATGAGATTTATAGAATTAAGACCTAGATTTTATTCTTTAAGGTTTAGAGTATAGTACCATGTCCCAAACTCTGATCTATTCAACGTTTAGATATTTTTTCTTACTCATGGTATGTTATACCTCATACTTTTGATTTTACTCAAGGTACAATAGAATCGTCCATATGTGTGGGTGCCTTCTATCGTACTTTCAGTAAAATCAAAGGTGTAGCATACCCTGAGTAAGAAGATGATATATGGACCTCGAATTAACTGAATATTGGAGCATGGAATTATAACCTAATCCTTAATGAGTGAATCCTAGGTCTTAATTATCTAAATCATAGACCCTAAACACTAAGATGATGCATGAAATTTGTTGGATGTATTTCGAAGAATCATGACCGTCGATTGTTGTTTCTATTTAAATTCATCTTAATATATGAGATTTATAGAATTAAGATCTAGATTTTAATTTTTAAGGGTTAGGGTATAGTACCATGTCCCAAACTCCGATTGATTCAACGTCTAGGTATAATTTTCTTACTAAGATTATGTAATACTTTTCATTTTACTCAAGGTGCAATAGAACCATCCATACCCCTATAATATAGTTTCATGAGATTTTCACCATTTTTATGAATCATGACGGTCCATTCTTTTTCTATTTAAATTTAACTTAGTGTATGAGATTTATAGAACTAAGACTTAGATTTTAATCTTTAAGGTTTAGGGTTAATACAATTTCCCAAACTCCAATCAATTTAACGTTTATATATCATTTTCCTACTCAGTGTATGTCATATTTCATACTTTTGATTTTATTCTAGGTACGATAGAACCATCAATATGTGGGTGCCTTCTATCATACCTTCGGTAAAATCAAAGGTGCAGCATCACCTGAGTAAGAAGATGATATCTAAACCTTGGATTAACCACATTTTGGAGCCTGTTATTATATCAATTCTTGACGAGTGAACACTAGATCCTAATTATCTAGATCATAGACCCTAAACACTGAGATGACACATAAAATATGTTGGATGTATTTGGAAGAATCATGATCGTTGATTATTGTTTTTATATAAAAATATCTTAGTATGTGAGATTTATAAAATTAAGACCTAGGTTTTAATTTTTGAAGTTTATGGTATAGACGTATAGTACCATATCCCACCGATCGATTCAACGTTTAGATATCATTTTCTTATTTAGACTGTGTCATACCTTTGATTTTACTCAAGTTACAATAGAACCATCCATACGGCCTATAATGTATAACAGAGTTTCATGAGATTTTCAAAATTTTGAATTCCCTGTCTTCTCCTTAATAATAGCTAGGGTTATAGTAATAATTGACATTCTTACTTTTTTATAATGAAAAAACAATGTTAAATTTGCTCATTCTTACTTTTTTATAATGAAAAAACAATGTTAAATTTTCTGCTTATAAGATTTGAACCTTGATCAAAGTGGAGAAAGATAAACTGGTCTACCTAGGTCATCGCCTACTTTAATGCTTAATTTTGTTAAAAAATTTCAATAACTTTCTATTTTGTTTTATTTTTCAACCACCGAATTAGAGTGTGTCGTGTTCTCTTTCTTCTCTATTTAAATTCCTGTTATTTTTAATTGGTTCGTAAATCTTTCATTTCAATCCAAATTCACATATTTTTGTACAGATAACTCAAATTTTATATAATCTACACAATGATATCAATTTTACTATATTTTGAAATATTTTGTATCCTTCCAAAGACATGATTAGTGTCATTTCATTTTAAAATATAATTTACTTAAAAAATTAATCTATTTTATATATATGGTAAAGACTAGTATACTCCTGGGAATCTGGACGTTACATGTATTTCGACGAGCACCAAAAAACCTAAAAGGTCAACTATTGTTTTCTAGTAAATTGAACTTCGCGTTTGGGTTTACAGAATTCAAGCCTGAGATTTATCCATTATAGGCTATTGCATGTATAGTATCATAACCAAAAATCAGTTTAATTCATGGTTTAATATAGATATTTCACTAAGAGTACATGGGCTATGGTATACTATAGGTAGGGGTGTTCAAATGGTTACCATTATAATTACTAACTTAATTTTATTAATTATAAAATACAATATATTAACCAAACCTACCAAATTAATACAACGACCAAATTAAAGTTCAATCAACTCGGTTAATTAGTTAATTATTTAATCAATATAACATAACATTATCACTACTCTATAAAAATCTCATATTATTACATCAATCCATAATATATATAATGAATAAAACATAATAATCAGTTAACATTGAACATACATACATGCAATTAATATAATTTTCTTACAATCATTAGAAGTAGTCACCTAAAAATAATACCAATGGTATGCGGGTAATGAATTATGTGTAAGTGTGAATTATCTTAATTCTTAATCTCTTAACAATTATTAGTGATTGAAAAAGTAATTTTCTTTCAAGTTTTCATTCAATATAATGTATGAGTTTATCTAGATTAGTAGTTCAAACATTGTTTCCTATACTCTAGAAGAACAAATATAGTATAGAAATAATTATGAGTTTTATATTTTTATGGATCCAAAAGGAGCAACGCTTAACTCTTGAGTATGTTATATATAATATATTAGATATATCGCTAATTGGTTTGATTAGTCAGTAGTGTCCGAACTAAATCAAACCACCTAAACCGAACAAGATAAAAAAATTAACCAAACCAAAGTATACAAATACTGTTGATTAAAATGATTACCACAGTAGCCACTCTGTTTGAATCACCATGGTAAGGAGTACGTTTACCTTACTGTGCGCTCGCCCATTTTTGTTATTTAGATCTAGAATTAATAGAAGTTTGGGACATGATACTATACCCTAACCTCTAATGGGTGGACCCCATCCTCCAATTCTCTAACCTAAACCATAAGATTCATTTAATCTCAAAATGAAAACCAACGATTGTGATTCATCAGAATTATCCAAGTACCAAATAATAGGTGTGAAACAAGTGCATATCGTACGCTAGCCTAGCCACCATGCACACACACAAACAAACACTCACATAGTGAGCAACTTCGATGGTTATATTCCAATTTTGCTAATGTCATTCCTCTTAATTTTTGGAGGATGGATCTCCACAGCGCATCCAACGGTCCACATGAAATGCCCACCTAATTAATGGCCAGGATTTGGTTAGAGGAATATATAGTGGATTGAGGGGCATAGACTTCATTAATAGTCCTAATAATCCTTTGTGTTTAGCGAAATTTAATATACACAGTTATATACATGTTGTATGTGTATATTCAAATTGGAAAAAATACGGTATGCGTGTTCGTCATTTTCAATAATTTGTATTCAAAATGCGCAGAACACATATTAGAAAACATATTTGTATTGAACAAACACATATTCTTATTGAATGAAAAACATATTTAATATATGTGATATGAGTATTCGTCAGTTTCACAACTTCTATTCAAAATTAGAAAAACTCATATTAAAACTTTTTTTTTGAAAAATACATATTCATATTAAACAAAAGACATATTTAATATATGTAATATGTGTATTCATCATTTTCACAAATTGTATTCCTCCAATTTTCAATATTTTTTCTCACTTACTTTTCATATCGTGGTCTTCAACTTTCACTATCTTCTGTTAATTATTTTTCAAATAATAGACTTAAATTTAATGAATCGCAATTTGCAGCCCGATAAATCGCTATTTGCCGCCCACAATTTTAAAGAAAAAGACACTTTTGCCCTTACCTTAGAAAACCCTCCCACCAAAGAACTTCGACCACTTCCCCCGCCGGCGAACACAAACTTCCTGTTTACCCATAAAAAAATCAGCTTGTACCACATCGATTAAATACAAGATAATTAATGAATTTATAAGGCCAGCTCAACATTAATAATTAAAAGAGCTAGCTGGGCCTTGTTGGGTTGGGTTTTTGGGCCTAAGTGTCCAAACCCCTTCTCCCCTATGCGATGGCCGACCCGTCTCCTTGGCCCCCATAGTCGATGCCTCTACACCTTGGTACGAAATTTGGCACCCAAAAACCTAAGTCTGGAAACAAGGAGACACAACAGGGTGCCAAACTATCAAGCCGGATAGCAAATAGGCGGCCATTCAAAAACTAAGTCTGGAAACAAGGCGACACAACGGGATGCCAAACGACCGGGT